TTCAATAGAACTTCCAAATGACGAAAGTGAGAATAAATGTTCATATTATTTTGCTGCTGATAACGCATTTCCCATAAAACAAAATATTATGTATGAGAACATACCCCGAAACATAAACAAATATTAATAATAAAATGCGAATTTTCAATTACAGACATGAAAAAGTTGTTTCTGTGAACAATGTTCAAAAGTGAACTTGAATTCTGAACAATTATATGAGCCGTTTATTTTGAATGTAGCCTAAATCCATTTATCTTTAACTTGACATATTTAAGGTTTTGCGTTTTTACAAAATTAAAAATATATGTAGGGTATGTGGTTGACTCGCAATGCTAAAACGTATTTAAGGGAGTTCATTTTATAATTCCTATTAAAAAATTGCTATTATTAAGTGTATAATATGACCTTGCTTACCTTGAAAGGGCTTAGGTCACTTTCAAAATAAAAATTTGTTTTGTTATTAAATGTGAAACAGCTTAAGTCTGTTACATATAGCTTAAAAAATTAAAAAAACCATTTTATATACTTTATATTTTTAGAAGAAAAAAATTAAATTTAATAACAAGTTATTCGTTAACATTCGCAGTATGCGGAAGGGATTTAAAGTAGTTATGGTGTTCCGGAGGTATGTGTCGCAGTAAGTCCATCATGTGTCGGTATTTTAGTGATATGATGCTCTTATACTTTTGTATAATGATGGCAATACAATATTTCCAAATTTTTTAGGTCTACCCTGACGTGGCAATAAATCAAGAATTTTAAACTCTGAATGCTCATCCATGGTTGTTTTATATAAAATTTTATATGGTTCATTTCTTAAAAATCGCATCCAGCATATTTGCAGCAAGTTTATTTTTTCCCCGTTGGTATTTTTAGATCTTCTGTAAACTGCTTCTTCTAAGAGTCTTGTTGATATAAAATCCTCTTGTTTCATTAAATTTAGTATGAAAGTATTACCTTTTCTACATTTTATTATTATATTATAATAATCTTGTGGCACATACAGTAAATGATTTCTTTTTA